TATCAAACAGCTCAGCCTCATGGGCTGTTCTCCAAGTTCTTTAAACAAAGATACAATGGGCCTGGGCCTGTGAAGTAATGAGCATCCCATGGCAGTACTAGGAGTCAGTGCAAGTTGAAAGCACGCAGCATCTCCCAGAGGTGCTCAGCACTTTGCATGTTCAGGCTGCGCCTCTTCTGAAGGATTGGGTGTTATTTTCAATTAGAACCAGACCAGTCATCTCCATACAGTGAGCACGCTGAGCCAGGACACAGGTTTGCAAAAATGACAAAACATTTTTTTCAATAAAAATTAATCGCAGCGGGCTCCTCTGAGAGGGCTATCTTTGATCCTTCAATCTTATCATTTTCAATACTTTTACTTCTTTAAAAGCCTCAGAGCAGATTTGCTCAAAGTTTCTCACAGCATGGACCCCAACTAATAGAGACAGTGTCTTGTGGATCATCTCCTGTCCTGTTTACAATTGTGTGGGCTATTTCCCTTCTCATCTATAATCATGTGGCACATTTTCCTCCCAGTGACATCTCTGTGGGAATTACAGCAATCGTTTACATAGAAAAGTAATGTTTTCAAATCACTTAATGTGGTTTTAGCTACTTTTATTATGATTTAGCATCTGGAAACGAGAAGTGTTAGCATCATATGACCAGCCAGCTCTCCCTAGATCACAAATGTGTGCTTCACGACTACATTTTGAGAACTAGTGCCTTAGGATTTTAAAAGTTAACATGGAAACAAAGCAGTAGCTCATTATTGATCAGCTTAAGGAAGGGTCTCTTGAGTACATGGGTTTAAAAACAGATAAAAGAGAACTGCTTGAATAGGTTTTATTTTTGTATTATTTTTATTTCCAAAAAAAGTGATTAATAATTTAGGCAATAATGACCTTCAGATCAGCCATTTCCAGGCATTAAATGACCCGCTAGGAGAATGGAGGGCCGTAGGCAAATCCAGCCAGTTATTAAGTGCCAGGAAATGCCCATCCCAGACATCATAATTGCCAATACAAATCATGTAAAATTATTAATTGAAAAAATGTAAGGTAATTACTATCTTATCCCGTTTTTTCTCTGTTTTCTGTAACAGTCTTTTCCTAGCTATTAAAGATTGGCACAGCAATCACTGAGAAAACAGGACTGTAACTTGAATGTTATATTCTAGTTCATATTTTTAGTCTACTCTGCTGTTTTCAGTTACTATTCTTTATTGTGTATTATGCTTAATAGCATCAAGGCTCTGTTATGCCATCTGGTGATATATTATTGAATTGCATTTGATATATTTGGTTAACACAATGAAACCTAATTGCAATAAATGTTTAATATATTCTCTTACTGTAAATTAATACCTATCTTTTTAAAATCAGGTTTCTATTAGAATAATGTTTTTCTAAATGTCTTTTTATTTTTTCTTTGTATTACTTTATATAATTAGTAATCATTTCAAGTTTCCTCTCAAATGTCAGACCAAGTAGCAGTGCATTTTATTAGTTTAAAAATAATTATTTATGGCAGTGTTCAGCTGTGATTTTTACTATATGTGTTTAATGCCTTTTACCGAGCAACTTCATGTATATTTCAAATGCAGCTCTACCTTTAAGAGACTCCATAAAAATGGCCCAAGGGAGTTCTGTGTTTATTTTCTGTAATTACAGCTCAAACTAGTTTATGTTATAGATAAAAACATTTTTCCTGTCAGCCCTGCCAAATCAACCTAACATCTGAAAGTCATATTGTATGTCAAGTTCTTTCATACTCATACATCTTTTACTAGTAATAAAGTATGTCAAAGTATATTGTCCATTTCACCTGTGATACCCTGTTGAAAGTTAATATTGTCCTACCTTCATCTTATGTTCACCCAGTAAAAGTGTTCTAATGATGCAATGCTTGTAGTTTTATATAAGGATTTACACTGAATAAGAATGCCTAGTTTAACTATTTTTCTAAATCACACCTTTAGTTAAAAAGGTGCCACCTTGTGTTTAGAGTAGGTCTCTCTTATGAATCTTATTCTGGACAAAATGGTTGGGTTTTTGGTTGTTTCCCCCTTCCCAGTTTGTTATCAGACTCTGTGTTTATGAAGGCCTCTGCAGCTTGCTCTGATGGTCCATATTTGAGTGCCCAACAGTGCAGCTGTGTCTCTTTTTTGAGTTTTAAATGTGTTGTTTTTCCTCCCTCCTCCTTTACTTTTAATGTGAATTTAATAAATGTTAAAGAATTACCTGTTTTGTGTACAAATTAAACTAAGTCCATAGCAATGGAATCCCAAATTCAAGTTGCTGTTAATGTTGCCACATGTGAAATGTAGCAAATAGCCAACCCCTCTCCCTAGCCTGAGCCACAACTTCAAAAGCACTATTTTTAGGCTAGCATGAGCTCTACCAGCCTGAGTAGTAATAGTAAGGGAACACCTGTGAGAGGTAGCAGGGCCCTGACCAAATCCCTTCTTCTCACCAGGTGGAGGGGAGACTTCCATATAGTGGGTGAAATACCCTAACCACTGGGTAAAGGTTATAAGGGAGGTCCTTCTTGCATACGCCTTGCCAGCTGTTTTGTGCGAAATTGCATGTACTGGACCCAATCGAGTAGGTGTGCTTAGAGGCAGTCTACCAGATGGGGTGCCTTGCATACGACTCGGATGTTTGAATGACGATGTTTTGCAAATTGCTTTGGGGCTTAGGCAGGAAATAATCACCTAGGCTGTACCTGGGGAACTTTTACTGTAAAAACCTATGGTTAGGTGGCAGCCATGTGGGAGCTCTGTAGATCACAATTGAGCCTATAAACAGGAATTAGGCACCTAAGTACCTTTGTGGATCCCATCCTCAGTTACACTTTCTCTGATTCTTCTTAGCAATGTATTAAACCTGATTCCTTCCTATAACTTTTATTAAAGTAATACTGATCACTATTGCTATAATTCTTAGTACATGGAATGCTATTTGTTTGTAAGGAAGGGAATACTAAAGTAAGGCCAACAAATAGTTTCAGTGTGGCGCCCAAATTGGAAATCTGTACACTTGAAATTATTTTTTTTTATTAGGTTAGATCAAATTAAAGGTAAGTAAGGCAATGGGGGTAGAAAAGGAATGTATGACAAGGCCACTAGCCTTCATTATTTTCAGGCCTACCAATATTACTCATTTGGTAACAGCCTTAGATCCCCCAGAACTTTGATTTAATTTTCTCTTCAAGTACTAACTGATTTTAAGTAATTAAGGGAATTTCCATCCTCCAAGGGCATCATCAGGACATGAACAATTGATCTTTCTCTCTCCCTCAGTCAAACTTTCACTGCAGTCTATGGCAGAGCTGTAAAGATGAAGCCCCAGGTTCCAGACTCCTGTAGATTCAGGGCTTGGCTACATTTGCAAGTTACAGCGCATTAAATCAGACCCAAGCACCCTAACTCCTGAGGAGTCCACACTGGCAAGGCACTTAGAGCGCCTGGATTCTGCAGCTGGAGCACTCCTAGTAATCCACCTCCACGAGAAGCATAAAGCTTGCTGTGCCCCGGCTGAAACGCTCGGGTGTCAGTGTGGATGACATGTTGCATTACTGCGCTGTGATTGGCCTCTGGAAATGTCCCACAATCCCCTGAAGTCAAGTGGCCACTCTGGTCATTGTTTTGAACTCGGCTGCAGGCATGCGGATATCCCCTTTCAAAGCTCCGTTTCTGACAGCCGGCATGCTTATCTGGTCCTGGACAAACTAAACCATTACTGTGGAATGCTGCTGCTGTGAGTGTGTGAGAGAGAGAGGCGCGGAGGGGAGGGAAGTGGAGTCTGCTGCTGTCTGAACTTACATGACAGCATGTTGACACTCTTTCTGCCCCTCAAACACACTGTCTCTCCCCCCACATACACACAACACACTCCCTGTCACACTCCACCCCCCATTTGAACAGCACGCTGCAGCCACTTGCACACTAGGATAACTACCAATGCATTGCTCTTTGTGGCACTGCAAGAGCTGCTAATGTGGCCATATCAGTGCGCTTGCAGCTGACAGTGTAAATACACGGCAGCGTTTTCCCTGCTGCGGTCTCCAAAGACTGGTTTAACTCCCAGCGCTCTACATCTGCAAGTGTAGCCATGCCATAACTTTTAATAATGCCCAGTGGATTTACAGCATACCATCAGTGGGCCAGACCCCACGGGTGGGGCCTACTACTCTTACAATATCTTTTTATTTACAATCTTGAAAATAAGAAAAAACTTGTGAATCTCCAGGCACATCTACACTACACTACAAGTGCTACAAATGTATAAGTGCAGTGCTGCCGCTGTGGACACCACGGCGGCAGAAGAGGTTTTTCTACTGCTGTAGTAAATCCACCCCCTTGAGAGGCGGTAGCTAGGCTGACAGAAGAATTCTGCTGCAGTGATCCCTCCACCTAGCTGTGGCTACAGTGGGGATTAGGCCGAGCTAACTATGTCACACAGGGTGTGAAATTTGTCCCAAGCCGGAGCTATGCAGTTAAGAACATAAGACTGGCCATCCCGGGTCATGGTCCAGCTAGCCCCGTATCCCTGACAGTGGCCAGTGCTGGCAGCAAAGGGCAGGGAGACCGGGTGTCGGTGAGGCGCTGGCAGCCCCGCCAGCCCTGGCTCTCCAGGCCCCGCAGCGCTGCTAGCTCGGGGACAGGGAGCTGTGGCAGCCGCGCCGCAGGGCAGCCTTGGGTCACGGTGATCGCTGGGCGCAGCGCGCCCCGGCACCACAACGGGCCCACGGAGGAGGCAGTTGGCGACGCTGCAAGCTCCGGGGCCCGCCTGACGTATCTCCGCGGGGGCTGCCCGCGCCATTTGTCCCCGGCGGGCCGGGACACACGGGGTGGACTGGCCGGGGGGGGCACCAAAGGGCGCAGAGTCACGAGCGCGGATCCGCTTGGCCCTGCACCCGCACGTGGCCAGGGACCGCAGGGCGGGGCAGCGAGCAGAGTGCGCGGGGTCTGCCTCACGCGCCCTCCACTGGAGACTTCGTGGCGCGCGAGCGGGAGTCAGGCGCCTGCGGATCGGGGGCGCTACCCTGGGGTCCCTGTGGGCCGTGCGACTGAACGGGGCATCTCCGGGCCCCGCCCGTTATCTGAACGCCCCGCCCCCACATGGCCCCTGATGACAAAGCTTCCGCTCGCTCCGCCCGACTTGGGATGCTGCCCTGCGCAGTGTCCAACCTCCATCACCTACAGCCGGAACATGCGCCATATCCGCACTACTGGAGCGGGGAAGACACACACAAGATGGCTGCCCTGCTCAACTCTTAGTTCCGGCGTGAAACGTCACTTCCCCTCCAGGAGGGAGCTAAACTTGAGAGGGCTCGCGTGTGACGTCATCGGAGCGCGCCAGAGCGAGTCACGTGCGCGCTCCATACCAGGCGGACGGCTGGAGTCCGGGGCTTAGCGAACAGTTGTGGAGGCACCATGGGAACCAGCGTGGAGGTGCCGCACTCGGCGGCCCGGCCGCTGCCCTGCCCGGAGATCCCGGCCTTCGCGGCCGCCTGCCGCCTAGTGCGGAGCCGCTACTCGTGCCTGGTGGCGGCGCCGCATCGGAGGCACATCGCGCTGGCGCCGCGCTACCTGAACCGGAAGCGCACCGGGATCCGCGAGCAGCTCGACAGCGAGCTGCTGAGATATTCGGAGAGGTGCGATCCGCGGGTACAAACCTTCCCCTCCCCCACCGAGCGCTCGGAGACGGAGCAAGCCCCCCCCCTTCCGCTCCCCCGAGATCCACCTCGACTCCACGCCACGCGTGTTCTCGCCCTTCTGCTACGGGCCCCATGTGGCTGAGCCCTCCTTCGGCGAGCGCCTCCGCAGCCCCAGCGGGGCATAGACCTAAACGTGGAGCAATTTCACTCATCTCCCCATCAGGTTTCGTGCTGATTTTGCACTGTCAGTGTTGGTCAGAAATATTAAAACAACTTGTCTTTCCTCTCCCTGTGTAGCCTCAGCGGTGTGCCAGTGGCTTATGATAACATCAGAGTAGTGGGTGAATTAGGTGATATTTATGATGACCAAGGATTCATCCATTTTAACATTGAAGCAGATTTTGTCATTTTCACTCCCAAGAAAGGAAAAAAGCTTGTGGTATGTAAAAATACTTCAGTTTTACTGTATTTTGCAGTAAGGGAAGCTTATTTTAGCTACTAAGTAATTGAATAATTGCATTTAAATAGTTACTGTTACAGTTAGTAGACAAATATTGAAATACCTTTTCTCTGTTCTTGACTCTGTTTTTCCTGCTAACTTATCAACTGTAGGTATAATGTTGTTATAGCAGTGGCAGTCCCACAATATTAGAGAGACAAGGTGAGAGAGGCAATATCTTTATTGAACCAATTTCTGCTGGTGAGAGACTAGCTTTCAAGCTACATAGCTATTCGGGGGGAAAGGTGTTTAGTGTCGCGGTTAAATGCAAGATTAAACAGTTAGCATAAGTATTTGTGATAGGCATCTGTAGGACCCATGGATCTTGAAATGTGTGTTGTGCGGACCCCACCCTGAGAGAAATCTTTCCTGAACCTCCTCTTCTGGCCTTCAGACTACTCCATGCTCATCATCAGAAGCAAGGCCCCCACAGACCAGGACAAACCAACTCAAACACTGTCAGAAGAACAGATGCAAAACCAGCAGACTTGGGGTGGGGAGGTATAGCTCAGTGGTTTGAGCATTGGCCTGCTAAACCCAGGGTTGTGAGTTCAATCCTTGAGGGGGCCATTTAGGGATCTGGGGCAAAAATCTGTTTGGGGATTGGTCCTGCTTTGAGCAGGCAATTGGACTAGATGACCTCCTGAGGTTCCTTCCAACCCTGATATTCTATGATATTCAGACTTATCTCCACTGCTACAGTGATCAACACCTCACAACACACCTTTAAAGACCCATGGTCCTACTTGTGCCTATCATAACATGCCATGTACCTCACTCAGTACACTAACAACTATGTGGTGAAACCAGACAATTACTATGCTCTTGAGTGATCTCATACAGGAAAATAAGACAAAAACACCACATCACCTGCGGGTGAACACTTTTCACAAAGCAATCCCTCTATATCTGACCCATCAGTCCTCATCTGCAAAGGAAATCTGCATAACACTTTCAACAGACAAACCTAGGTGCTTAAATTCATAACTTTGCTAGTCACTAAAAATCATGCTCTTAATAAAGACACTGGTTTTATGGTTTATTACAGCTGTCTGTAACCCACTAACCCCCTTTTTTGTCCTATGTCTGCAGGGGTGTTAGTGGACCACTTTGCCTTGAAAGGTCCCTTAGGATGCTACTTATGCTACACTATCTGTTCAATCTTGTATTTAGCTGTGACACTGATAGTGACTTTCGTAGACTTGAAGAAGAGCTCCGGGCAGGTATACACTTAAAATGCTGCAGTGATGCAGGTGCACCACTGTAGCGCTTAAGTGAAGACGCTCCTAAGCCAATGTGGGAGTTTCTTCCGTTGTTCTTAATCCACCTCTGCGAGAGGCTGTAGCTACGTCGATGGGAGAAGCTCTTCCATCAACATAGTGCCACCTACACTGGGAGTTAGGTCGGTGTAACTACATCACTCGTGTGTAGATTTTCACACCCGTGAGTGACTTAGTTATATCGATATAAGTCTGTAGTGTATAAGTGGGCTCTGTGTAGCTCAAAAGTATCTCTCTCTCACCAACAGAAGTTGGTCCAATAAAAGATATTAATTCACCCACCCTCTCTCTCAATTGTAGGGGTGTTTTTCCTCCCAAAGGAGGGCTGGTAACCTGGTACCGGTACAGGCTTATCCCTAAAGTAATACATAGTCTTATCCATTAATCATAGGCACAAGTATTTGTGGTTATGAAGTGCTCTCTATTGTGATTCTGTTCTGTTTGCAGAAAAGAACAAAACAGAATTTTTGCTCCTGAGCATTTCAAAATAAAGAGTAGGCCTATGGATCTCCTAAGAGCTTTAACACAAACATACCTCTGTGTGAATGCTTGCAAGCTTCAGAATTCAAAAAAGTAGGTCAGAATATTGGCCTACTCACATAGCCACATTGCATTTTTTAGACACAGTAGTTTAATATATTAACATTCTGTTCCCAGGTTTGGCAGTTTTTGATTAAAGTCTACTCCATGAATCTTAATTATCTTACAGAGCCTAGGAAAAATTCTGCTCTCAGTCTCTCCATTGATACATACAGTGGCCTATATAGAGCAGCAATTCTCAGCCTATTTACCATTGAGAGCTACATATGCAGCTCTCCGTGTTACATGAGACTCATCCACACAATATATTGACAACCTGTACATCTTATTTAAAAAAAAAAAAAGGTTTAGTATTTGTTATATTACAGCAATACAATTCAAATCGATATAGTATCTTTCATTTCAACACAGGCAAATGTCTACCAAGAGCATTTTAAACTAGCAAAATAAGTCAAAACATTAACTGTTAAGATTAATTAATTTATTGGAAGGGTAGCAGCAATCTCCCGTCGACGACATAAAACCAGCTCAGTGAGCGGTGGTCTCCCGCCAACATAGCATTGTCCACACCAGTGCTTCTGTCGGTGAAACTTAAGTCACTCGGGGGTTCCACATCCCTGAGCCACAAAAATTTTGCTGACATAATTCTAGTGTAGATGTGGCCTAATTCTATATTTTTAATTTGAAAGACTTAGCAACAATTTTTTAAAATGTGGCTTCTATTTGTACAAGTGCTAAAGCCACTTGCCATGCAGTTGATGGTGGGGATTTGCATGTGTAAACTTTCTTATGTACAAGAATCTACAGACAAATTTACAGTGTGTGCATGAATGAAAGTCTCTTACAAGTTGTGGCCCTTAAATGTAGTATAGTCTTCCTTACGTGGTTTTCTTTTCTTCTTCCAGGGTGTGATCAATAAAGTGGCCCCAAGTCATATTGGCTGTCTGATACATGGGTGTTTCAATGCTTCCATCCCTAAACCTGATCAAATGTCAGCTATAGAGTGGCAAGACCTTGGGTTAAAAATAGGAGATAAACTGGAATTTGAAGTGGTGCATTTAGATTCCGATGCTGCTGGAGTATTCTTCATTCGGGGGAAACTGAATAAAGACAGGTACAGTGCTATATTAAAGGATTTTTTTCAAACTGAGCTGATTTAGTGGATTTATTTAAAAACATAATACTTAAAATCAGTGTCTTGCCTTAACTCTGACTTTCCCCCTGTATAGTATGAATATTATAGTTTAAGACAGATTTTAAAATTCTGCTAATAAATTCCATACAGAACTAATGCTAATTCTTTAACAGAATAGAGACTAACCAAATACTGGAAATTGGACATGTATTAACAGGTCATAAGTTCTTTTGTTACTAAAAGCCCCTAATCTTTTTTTCCTACTTGAATTGCTGTGGGTTTAGCACAACTCCCAGTCTTCAGTTATGTGCTCCATATAATTATTGCATTTCAGCAAAGCTTAACATCATGATGTATTAAATACCTATAGAGATCTCATTCTGTACACTCTTGCTTATTTTGTATGTTTCTTCACAGTGTGCAATCCAAATATCCTGAATCAGTAACTGAAGATACAAACAGTATAGATGAAATACCAAAGAAGAAACACAAGAAAAGAGACCGAAGGAATTGTGAGTTAGAAAATGACACAGAGGTTACACACAATGCAGATACTACTGTGGTGGAAGATGCAGAAGAGCAGAATGCTGATACAGTAAATGGATTTTATGATAAAAAGCCAAAGAAGAAGAAAAAACATAAGCAAGAAAAGCAGAAACCTGTATTTTATGGAAGTGACTGTAGTGGTTACCCGAGTGACCATAAAAAGGTTATGAGAAAGAAAAGAGAACATCGTGATGTAGATGAAGAAAGTGAATTATCTCAATTGTCACAAGAACCTAAAGCCAAAAAGAGAAAGGAATGACAAATGGACTGAAGAGTCCAAAAATCCCTTGCTTGAATGTAAGATTGTCATCTTCTTTCAGAAGTACTTGATAAACTTCCAGTAAAATCATATTTTCAATTTGTGTATTTCAGCTTTCATTTATATTACAGTAGCACTTAGAAGTCCCAACCAAGATCAAGGCCCCCTTATGCGAGGCAATGTATATATACTCATACTATATTCTTAAGAGCAGGTTAGACAAACACCTGTCGGGGATGGTCTAGAAGATAGATAATACTTAGTCCTGCCATGAGTTCAGGGAACTGGACTAGATGATCTCTTGAGGTCCCTTCCTATGATTCTATACATCTTTCAGGATAGGAGATGCCTCTTACTCTCCAGAGATAAAACAAAGGATGGTAAAGAGGCAGTACATATTCCTGTTTTACAGATGAGGAAATGAGGTACAGAGATTAAGTGGCCTGCCCAAAGAGACACAAGAAGTGTTTGGCAGAGCTGGGAGGTGAACCAGATGTCTTGCGTGGTAGTCAGTGCCTTAACTACAAGAACATGTTTCTTTTGTTAGTGAAATTAAACGTGGTACTCAAATGCAGGCTTTAAGTCCTTAAATTTAGTATTTTTAATGCCTCCAAGCAAACTTTTTTTTTAAAAAGGAGGTTTAAGGGCTAGATTCTAATGAATATAGTGAACATAGTGCTTAAGATGACTCTTACATTTCAGAGTGTACAAGCATGCCAGGGAGTACTTGAAACGTTTTCAACAAAATTTATGGTGTGCTACTCTAAATGGAAAAACATCTATTTGGAGAACTGGTCATGTTGTATTCGAGGTCTATTGGGGGTGTAGGGAAGATTAGGTTGTTAGTTTCACAATAGTGCAGTTCACTCCATTTTCTTACTATATGGTTCCATTTCCTTGTTAATTAGATCTCAGTGGACTTCCACTGAGAGACTGACAGTTTTATCAGATTGTAACTCATCACCAGGATTCTTAGTTTTCCATGATTAATGAACAAAAATTCTCTGATAAACATGAAAATCTGTGTTTTTTCCATGATTAAAATGGAAAAAAAAATCTTATATAATGAAACAATATTTGAACAATGTTTTAAGTTTACAATTTTTAAGCAAGTTCAAAGCCTACTGGTGCCATCACTCATAATAGAATATTAGAATTTGTATTTTACATATACCAAATGCTTCTGTCTATTCTATATTTTCAGGATTTTTTTAAATGCACAAAAAATTAAGCAAAATTACTTTTATATTAATATCACTCACTTTGAGTTAGTCCTGGTTGTTAAAAATAGAGTTGCAGCATTCCAGCCACATTTTTGTCTTTCAGACATTGGCGCGGAGCAGAGAAAAGAACCCTGAGTTTGCTGAAACTTCTTTCCACATCAGCTGAATTTACAGTCAGTTGGAGGAGAACCATTGCATCTTTTTTGCCAGGTTAGGAATACGATCTTCAACAGCCATCCAGAAGTAAATGGGATCCTCAACGTCTCTAAATTAAATCTTTGACAATCCCTAAATACACTCAGACAGCTTTAATTGTGGTTTCACAATCTTTGTTTAGGATCCAGTGCATGAACAGCATGGAGAAAATTAAGTGCTGGTTGTTTATTTTTTAGCTTGTACTGTCTCAGTTTATCAGCAGTGCTTTGAGCAGCTGCAGATCTATTTGCATTTTCAGTTGATGCAAGATGCTGTAACCATGAAATTAAATCCAGAAAAATGTACACTTTGTGCATTTGTAAAAAGCAACAGAGGGTCCTGTGGCACCTTTAAGACTAACAGAAGTATTGGAGCATAAGCTTTTGGGGGTAAGAATCTCACTTCTTGCAAGTGCCACAGGACCCTCTGTTGCTTTTTACAGATTCAGACTAACACGGCTACCCCTCTGATACTTTGTGCATTTGATATTTTTAGGACTGCAAAACATCCGGTACTGTCACCAAGTGTCTGCCGTTCTCTGCAATGTATTTCAGGTCTGCATGCACATCAGCTGCTAACAGGCAAGCTAGTTTCTGCTGAACAGATGTATCCCCATGTTCCATTTGTTCATGCTCCTTGAACCCATGGTAGAACTGGTAGTACTGTACATGGTATTTTATAAAATTGAACCATGTATTCCACCTGGTCCCAATTGGTTCAGTTGGAAGTGTTGGCAAATCAACTCTCTATTTACTCAGGTATCTCAAGTATCGTTTACAACAAGCTGGAGATTTCACTAAAATTGACTTCATCTCAAAGCGATCCACTTAAAGCTATCTCACCAAGTATTTCCTGCCAGCGCGACTATATGTGCATAGCAATGAAGACGAATACAGTTTGACCACAGGTTGCAAAGCACATCATTTCAAGCCTTTGCCATGTAGCTCGTACTGTCTGTTACAAATGCTAATATTCGATCAAGTGGTTGGATGCTGAATTCCATAACACAAGAAATCAAGGCTTGTGAAACTGAGTCATATATAACTTTGCTGAGGTACACTGTCTTTACAAGCTGTGGTGTGGTAATGTCAGCATGCTTTAGGAGAATCTACCTTGAGCACCTGAAATAAAATGTTGAAAACTGGTCTATTTTGAAAGTTGTTTTGTCGGCAGTCATAGCAATAGTCTCCTTTCAGGTCATTGAGAAGGCACTGTTTTTTCTCTTCAAAAAGAGTTGGTAAGTAATGGGAATACAATTGATCTGACTTGGGAATGGCACTGCCTCCCTTAATGAGCTTGCTCAAAAAAATCTCTGACAACAGGTAAATCCATTTTGTGCAGAGGAATGTCTGCATTTACGCACATTTGAACAAAATCTGAAGTGACAGTTTCATTCTGTTCTTTGGCAGTTGAAAAAACACTGGAACGATCCAGTCACGGTGCATTGTTTCTTTACTGTTGTCGATGACCCTGCTGTTTCAGCCTCGTTTTCATTTAGTTTGTTTAGAGCTTTCCATGCGTTCTACAGTTGTCTGCTTTCTAACGTAATCAGCAGCCTTGCTCCATACAGTACAGAACAGCACATTACCATCAATGTGAAATTTGTCCTTGCCAGACTCAGTGAGATGGTCTTTAGGGGTGATTTTTTTTTTAAAGTTTTTGGCATCTTTTCATAATTTTAAATACATCTGCAGGCTGAAGTGAAATTTGAGATGCATTAAAACACAAACCCCTATCCGCCGTTGAGTAACTTCTACAAGTTGGAGGCAGTTGGAGTATTTCTAGTTATGTAAATTTAAAGCTCATTCAAAAATCAACCACAAGAGGGGGAGGTTGCATGCATTGAATAAGTGATACTGGTACTTTCACTAAAATTTAATTAATAGTTAATTTGTTTTTATTTTATCACAAAATATAAAAACTAAAGATTCTTTGTAAAAATGCAAATTCTGTATTTTTTCCATGGCAAACTGATTTCTAGGATCCCTGCCCACCACATTTCCTCCAAACTTTCTTCAGTTTTATTCATGAGTTAATAACTGCCTGGAGTTATTTGTATAAAATGTGTGCTGCATATGTATGGCTTGAAGCCTTCCTTGTGCTAGCTGCAAATTTCAACATATGGATGCATAGAATCATAGGACTGGAAGAGAGCTTGAGAGGTCTTCTAGTCTAGTCCCCTAAGTATTATCTTCTAGACCATTCCTGACAGGTGTTTGGAGATTTTTAAGAGCAGGTTAGACAATGAAGATTCCACAACATCCCTAGGCAATTTATTTCAGTTCTTAACTACCCTGACAGGAAATTTTTCCTAATGTCCAACGTGAACTGCCCTTGCTGCAATTTAAGTCCATTGCTTCTTATCCTATTCTCAGAGATTAAAGAAAACAATTTTTCTCCCTCCTTGTTATAACAACCTTTTACATACTTGAAAACTTATCATGTCCCCTCAGTCTTCTCTGTTCTACGCTATACAAACCCAATTTTTTCTATCTTCCCTCATAGGTCACGTTTTCTAGACCTTTAATCATTTTTGCTGCTCTTCTCTGAACTTTCTCCAGGTTCTCCACATTTTTCCTGAAATGTGCCACCCAGAACTGGATACAATACTCCAGTTGAGGCCTAATCAGCATGGAGTAGAGCAGAATTTCTTCCTGTGTCTTGCTTACAATACTCCTGCTAATACATCCCAGAATGATGTTTGCTTTTTTTGCAACAGTGTTACACTGTTGACACATATTTATCTTGTGATCCTCTGCGGTACTTCTTCCTAGGCAGTCATTTTCCATTTTGTATTTGTGCAACTGATTGTTTCTTCCTTAGTGGAGTACTTTGCATTTGTCCTTATTGGATTTCATCCTATTTACTTCAGACCATTTCTCCAGTTTGTCCAGATCATTTTGAATTTTAATCCTATCCTCCAAATCACTTGCAACCCCTCCCAGCTTGGTATTGTCTGCAAACTTTATAAGTGTACTCTCTATGCCGTTATCTTAATCACTGATGAAGATATTGAACAGACCCAGAACTGATCCCTGAAGGACCCCACTTGATATGCCCTTCCAGTTTGACTGAACCACCGCTAAGTAGTCTTTGGTAACGGTTTTCCAATCAGTTTTGTACCCACCTTATAGTAGCTCCATCTAGATTGTATTTCCCTAGGGCTTGTCTACACTGGCAATTAACAGCGCTGCAACTTTCTCGCTCGGGGTGTGAAAAAACATCCCTCCCCGAGCGCAGCAAGTTGCAGTGCTGTAAAGCACCAGTGTAAACAGTGCCCCAGCGCCGGGAACCGCGCCCCTCGTTGAGTTGTGTTTTTTTCTCCCAGTGCTGAGCCGCGACCACACAAGGCACGTTAAAGCGCTGCCGCAGCAGCGCTTTAGCATTGTCAGTGTAGACTAGCCCCTCGTTTGTTAAGAGAAGGTTATGCGAGACAGTATCAAAAGCCTTGCTATAGTCAAGATATATCACATCCTATCCACAAGGCTTATTACCTGTCAAAGAAAAGTATTAGGTTGGTTTGACACTATTTGTTCTTGACAAATCCCTGCTGTTACTTATCACCTTATTATCTTCTAGGTCTCTGCAAATTGATTGCTTAATTATTTGCCCTTTTCCAATTCTCTGTAATCTCACCTGTCTTCCATGTCTTTTTGAAGATAATCACTAATGGCTCAGATATCTTCTCAGTTAGCTCCTTGAGTATTCTAGGACATATTTCATCAGGCCCTGGTGACTTGAAGACATCAAACTTGTCTAAGTAATTTTTAACTTGTTCTTTCCCTATTTTAGCATCTGATCCTAACTCATTTTCACTGGCATTCATTAAGTTAGATGTCCACCTGCTACTAAAATTTTTGGTGAAAACAAACCGTGTCATTTAGCACCACCATTTCCACATTTTCTATTTTTGTCCCTCCCCGCCCCCACTGAGTAATGGGCCTACCCTGTCCTTGGTCTTCCTCTTGTTTCTAATTGTAGCCGTAGGCTAAGCTTGCCCATTATATTCACCCCTTTTATATTCACTGGCTTGCCTTCAGTATATTTAGCTGCTTTTATTATATTCAACAGTAACGCAAGAAACCTACAGCTCTGTATCCTGTAAGATATTAGCTGAAGCATTAATGTGGTTAAGTAGGCCATAACCCTTGGCATAGATCAGTAGTTACCTTTAAATTTGGGGAACTAAGAAGAGCTTGCTCAATGATAGAATGTTCCAGTGAGTGCTACTGGAGGGAACATGGAAGTAATAACTGCAAATCCACTTAAGCAAGGAGTGACGGGTATGATTATGAGCTGAAATGGCAGTTATACGTATCAATATGTTAACCGATAGAATAAGTACAGCTCAGTATTGTGTTGGTGAAAAGGCTAAATACGGGCATGGAGAACTGCTCGGGCTCTATACCAGGGCAGTCACCATGTGGTTCGGGGAGATGAGTGAATCCTACTATTGTGCTACTTCACTCATGACTTAACATTTGGCTTAGAATGGCTTTCACTACTGTTCATTTATTTGCTGAGGGAGGGGGCCATTGGGTTGTGACACTACCACTTACTTCAACATGACTAAAGTTGAAAGGTCAGATAGTTTATTTATATACAGTAGTGCCTAAGGACCAGTGAAGCATGGGGCTATCTTGTGCTTGGCACTATACAAACAGTAGTGGATAGTTCTTGCCCTGAAGAGTCTACAGTCTAAATAGACAAGACAGAGACAGGGTGGGGGAAGGGGTATAACATAAGCAGAGTGAACAGTGTGGTGGCTGCAAGTGACATATTAGTGCCACAACATTTTTTGGTAGGGGGCGGAGGGCTAGAAGGGGATAAGCTAAATGGAAATGGAAGGAGGGGGACAGGGCAGGCAGGAAGAGGGACAAGTATGGAGTGAAGCCATGCTGAGGAGGCTAAGGGAGGGAGTGTTTTGGAGCAGTCAATCGACACAGGGCAAAGAAAATCCAGATAACGTACGATTGTTTTAAAAATGACTAGTATTCATCAAGAGCTTTTACATATATTACAGTTAAAATGAGGAAACAGGCCCCTTGTAACAGCCACTGAAGGCTCATAAATGAGATGAGCTAGCCAGCTTCTTATAGGACTCTTAGCACTTGCCCTCCCAATGTTCCAGAAGCTTCTAGATACCAGTCATACCCCTCTGCACTTCTCACCCCGTTACCCTGTATCAAATAAGTTGAGCACAGTTCACTGCAGTTTTCTATTACCAGGGCCTCAACCAGTTTCCCTGCCACCTTCTAGATAGTTCTCACTCTTGTTTCCTAATAGGCATAAGAAGACCTTGATGATCTCATCACTTAACCATTTAGAACAGTTTTCAATCACCATTGGAAGAGTAAATTCCAGTACCAAACTTCTAAGAGTAAAATAGAAGCTAAAGCTCTATTACATTGGCTTTTTACTGCAAAAAAAAAAAAAAAAGAGGTTTTCATAACCCTATATCAAAAGTAGCATAGTACAAAAATAAGTTTCTCGGCACCATTTCTGATCATAATCCAGCCAGAGACATTTGACTGCACTTCTACAATTCCAGTAAGCTACAGAATAGGCTATCTTGGGGTGCTGAAACCAGCCGTCTGAAAAAATGCAAAAAATGTATCACATCATTGGTCACAGAATCTTTCTTTAACCCAAAATCTATAACACATAATTATGTCAGATCTCATGTACCATTTTCTAGATCCTACCACTGCACCCCTGGCCTTTTGACAGATAAAAGAAAATTAAAAATAAATGCATGACTTTTGGCAATAATTGTGCAGGCTGAATGACCTGTTGTTCCTATGTTGCAGATTATATAGTATTCCACAGATTAGATTTCTGGTCAGTGAACATGATACCACACTACAAGTTGAGTCTATGCAATTGGATATTTCAGGCAATGGGATCTACAAAATAGTTGACTGTTTTCTGTCTTAGAGGATAAGTCAAGAAAAGACAAACAAAACGTTTTCACAGTTGGAGCCCGTATTGGCAGCTTCACAGCTACACTGTTGATGTTGCTGAAGACACTATTTTGGATTACCTAACTATGGCAAGAAAACTTGGATTTTGAAAAGCAAATTGTCACTCCATGCATGACTCTAAAGGGAAAAAACCCAAAACTGATTTAAAAAAAAAATGTAAG